TCTTTCGGGGCAGGGGGTTTGGGGGGCGGGGGGATGGGGAGTGCGAGGGGGGGTGCGTCGGTCTGCTTAGCAGGGGAGGGGATGGGTTCGACCGCTGCCAAAGAGGACCGAAAGATTGCGTCAGTCAAGAAAACAAGGAGCGAGGGAATGAAACCTGGAAGAGCGGCCACTATGGAAGACGTTAAGCGATGGTGGTATGAACTTCTTAGAGGAGAATCCACTCGTAATTGCACTTCCTTTCACAACCAACGTTTGCCTTTGGTCCGCTTGTACGAGCTCCGAACGGGCTCGTTCATCCTTGTGCCTTATCAGACTGCAGTGGCCCACTCAAAACAATCTCTTTGCAGGCAGTAAACAACCGAATTCCGTCATGTCTACAGTTGAACAAACAACTGTGGCAGATTCTCGAAGAGCGAAGGCTCAAAGCCAATCGCCAGTCCCGATGCAGGGCATCTCGATATGAGTTCAGAGAGATCTACTCGTTTGATCGGAGAGACATTACAACTGTTTCAAGGGACTATAGAGAGGGTATGCTCGATGACAATTTTAAAGGCCGAGCAAAGAGTTTGAAATACTTACGGCGTGCTCGGTACATCTGGGGCTTGCCCCCCGGCGGAAGTCCCTGGGGGTTGAGCTCCGGATGATAGTACACGGAATCCTGCAATCATTGGGGCAACGAGTCCGTGCCAGGAACCGTAGAATTTCCAGTAACCCCAGGTGCTTCTGCAAACACTTCGGCATCGCTTTCGACGGGGACAGTACTTTCTGAATGATCCCCGGATTCAAAACCCTTCAGATGTGCTCCTTATGTGTTGCCGAAACTGATACAGGCTGTTTCAGCGGGGGCACAAGCCGTAACTGCTCAACAAACCTCGTGAGCGTGTGGAGCACGAGATAAGAGGCCTGCGGATCTGCAGCGCTTCAAAGATCCTGATAGATCGTACATAAAGGACGTCCGAACTCGTGAAGCAAAGCGAAACTGGCGTGCTCAAAGGTTCTGCGCCTCTCAGTCAAGATTTACTTGAGCTACGTCTGTTACCCCTGCCTCAACCGTCAATATCGCATTTCGTTCCCTGAATTACGAGAGGGAGGTAATGCATTCCGACTTGGGCTTCGACTAACGTTCTAACGAGCGGAGGTTGGAGCCTTACCTCCGGACGGGGATAGTCGCCCGCGACCTTGACGTCATTCAAGGGCACGACCATGCTGGGCTTCGGCGGTGCCAAGTGGCTGCACACGAGAAAAGACACAGATAATTGGGAGGGGAAAATTGCATCGTTATAGCACTGTCACAGGCCAGAGTTTTACATCGGAAAACAAAGATTCGTTTGGCTAGGAGAAGGGCAAATGTAGCATGTTGCTAAGTCGCCCAGAAACCGCGTTGGTTTCGACACGCTCGCAACGCTCGCTCCTCCCTTCTGACTCTCCTCCGGCATTTTGACCACCTCCTCAAGACAAATATTAGATGATTTCACCATCGAATCCACGAACTTTCTGCTTCGCTGGACCATTTCCCTTCATGTCAGGCAACACTCTTTAGGATCCTTTCGCGTTCTTCTCTACTGTCTGCTAGTCTAATTGTTTCTCAAAGATTGACGAACCCAAAGCTCCGGAAATCAAAGTCGCGTGAACACAACTTGCTCAACCCCCTACTCTCAACAAAAACGCCAGCGGCTTCTTGAGCACCTCAGATACAACCTTGATGCCCAGACCGATAAAATCGGAAACCCCCAAGCCCCTGAAACAACAGGGAAGCAGATAACTTCGGACCCCCTGGGTGCATATTTTGTTTCTTACTTTCTTGTGCTCACTTCCTGCAACGATCCAGAATCCTGAATGATCACAACCGCAAGCCCAAACAAGCCAAGTTTACCTGAGCATGACGGCACCTTCCTTTTTCCCGCATCTCCTCATACCCTGCTCAACCCCAAGCGATCAAAACCCTCCATGTCACAAACGCCAAACCCCCAGAAAGCTTAACCCACCTGAACATAACCGGCTCCTCTCCCTTCTCCCGCATCTTCTCCTCGTACTCCTTCTGCTTCTTGACCACCTTGTCCAGGCTCTCCTCCAGCTGTCGCTTCTTGTGCCGCCGCGTCTTGTCCAGTGCGCCGTCGGCCTCTGCATCGGACACAGAATCCCATGTCAAAGCGCCCAAAATTTGCCTTGCTTATATCCACCTTTGATCCCCTCCTTAAAGCGGGCGACCACCCGCAATCCCCAACTCCATCATTGTCAGATTCTCAGACCGGCTTCACGGAGATCAGGCTACCCAGTGAGATCAGGAAAGGACGTGTGCATCCAGACGCCTCTATGAGGAGAGTGTTTGGGCCCCCGAACGCCTCCTGACACGATACTGCTTTGTTTGTCGATATCTAAGATGCAGATAGCCCATCCGATGCCCAGAAGCTATTGTCGCTGAGCCCTTTCATACCTGATGCCCCCTTCAGGCAAGTGGAGCGCCATACGACACCCACATAAAAGGCTGGCTTTTCTCTACTATGACTTCCATGGGTCCTCCTTGGCGCCATGTCGCAACAACTGGACTCTAAGCGCATTCTGCTTCCAGGCAGGATGAAAACGATGACTGAAAATGCGGAGGTGGAACTTACGCATCTGCTCGAGCTTGTCGATCTGCGCCTTGATCGCGTTGGGGTCCTTCTTTAGGACGCCCACCTCCCGCACCTTCATGCGCTCCTTCTTGTTCTGCATTCGAAATGGCTCATGGTTTCACGTTGCCGCATTGCCATGAAGAATCAATCCTGCCTATGGTCCAGACTGCTTCCACAAAGCCAGATGTCAAAAACTCCGCAAGCGCACTTCAGCTCCAGTCACGACGAGGTGGTCAAGAAGGTGGTACGACGACCAATGAACACTTAAAGAAAGCCTGTCAGAAAAGCGCCAGCAAAATCTGCATTTGCTTGCACTCTTGGCCCCGGTGGTGGATGATCTAAAGAAGGTGTGGACTTTCCTTACACAACAGCGGTTTGTGCCTAATGCCACCATTCAGATGTTTCCGACATCATGAAAGACAAGGCCTTGAGATACAACCAACCAGAAGTAGAAGCTGCAAACGAGCCTAACCGCAGCCTGCGACATTGATAGCGACACGGGATACGCTAATGTCCATCAGTGCAAACTTGCAATTCAAAAGAGCCCTCGGAGTTTCTGGATACATGGGTTCCAAGTAGGACAACATAATGTCCTATTTCAAGTAAAACCTCAAAGTGAATCCTAAGAGACAGAATGCACTAATATGCCATGTCGCTGCTAAATATGGAAGAAACCCCTAAACCTTACGTATGCTAGTGCAACACTAAGTGCATAGCGCTCGGCACTTTGCATGGCAATGAGTGAGAAGTGGCAATTGATGGGCGCCACCAAACCACCAAATACCCCCAAGCAAAAGTCAAATGCACAAAACATCAGCAAACTACTTTAGATCTCCGCTTTACCTCCACTGTCCGGCAACAGCAGAAGCGATTAAGAAAGGAGGACAGACAGGATTCTTGAAATTTGGGAATAAGAGCAAGATGCAAACATCGCTCACCCGCTGGAGCTCCTTCCTTCGCTCCATCTTGCGATGGGCGTCCGTAGGATTCATAATCTTCCCCTCCTTCTGCTTCTTCACCATCTTCGCTGCCCTAGAAAAGTCTCGGCCTCTGGGGCCAAAGTGCAAGCAACCTCAATTCCCCCTGAAGCGCTACTCTTCCAGTCTCTCAGACCAAAGGTCTCCAAAGCACGTTGCGCAGAGGGTTTTTTTGAAGGCAGATTGCGAGAGCCGAAGAAGCCGTGCAGTGCCAATGCGATACCACCAAAAGCGAAACTAAGTGCCGCCGATTTGAAACGCCCGCCAGCAGATTCCTGTGCTTTCTTGACCAAGCTTTCTTGCCAGCGCCCAGGTGATAATGACCTTTCTATCACTGCTAGGACCCTTTTCCGTCACAGCACTTTTGATACTTCTTTTGAGTGTTAGGTAGATGTAAAATGACGCTAGGTTGGCTGGCGCCCTTGTGAGTCGGGATTCAGACTCAGAGCGCTTGCCTTCCAAGTTCCAGCTTCTTCAAACTTCAAAGCTTCTCCAAGAAGTCCATGCTTTTGAAGAGTGAAGAGCAGAGCAAACCCTCCAAAACCATCCCTTTACTGCTCGGTTAGCTGTTAACGTTGCCACCGGCCTTACCAGACGCTGGTTTACCGGGGACGGCATGGTCTGCATCGAATTACTTCGCCGTTTGTGTTAGGGTAACCCGTTTTACCCGACAAAGAGGTTACTCTTACCCAAAATCTTTATATGGGGTCAGGTCCCAGGAGCTGCAGCAGAAGGGTGGCAGGCGAGAGAAATGGTAGCAAACTGCTAAGTGGTAAGTGGAAAGCCCTATAAACCGCCAGTGGAAAGCGCTGTAAACGCTGTATTCTTACAGCTAGGTTGCCAAAAGGAAGTGCTCTTGCCTCGAGATTGGCATTTGCAATGGCTTCCTCCACCCTGCACCGCTTCCTTCTCTTCCTCACTCTGACGGCAGCCGCAGCAAGCACCCTTGCAGAGCCGGCCTGGGAGCGCGAGATAGCGGACGTGCGAGACTGGATCGAAACCAAGTTCACCGATGGCGTGCATGCATTTGAAGAAGAGCTCTCCGCTTCAAGACTGAAAGCCTTTGCTTCAGAGCTGGGGGTGTCGTCCCCCCAGGCGATGGAGGGGGTGGGGGCTGCTGAGATGCTAGAAACCCTGGGGAAAGAGGCCCTGTCAGAAGTGGTGTCGTCAGGGGAGGGAAGAAGTGAGGAGGCGGGGAATGAGGAAAGCAGAAGGGAGGGATTGTTGGTAGAGAGACCACTGAACCTAATGCCGGCTGGGGAGAATGCTGATAAGGACCTGGGGCACTACGCAGGGTACTTCCGCCTGAATCGGACGCACGATGCAAGGTGAGTCGTCAGAGTTGAGTGGTGATTGCTTGAACTTCTTCATTCTTCATCATCTCGTGGTGGATGCTTGTTGCAGTGCAAGTATTGGATAGAGTTTTGAAGCGAGGGACGTGAAGAGCGAGGGATATCGTGAGGCTAAAAGTGTCCCATTTTGATCATGTTGATCTCTGTTCTGGAGGCCAGGTATTTGAGAAATATGTGAGATGTGTACTATTATAATTCAGGATTCCACAAAACACCGCCACCACTGCATCAGGTTTAATCAGTGCACAGAGTCCCCAACTCTGTTCTTATTGTGATTCAGCTTAGGCTTTCGGTAACACCACCAGGGGTGTTCCACACGCAGTTCACAGAGCACGTGAAAACCCCGTCGATTTCTTTTGCTCAGGATGTTCTACTTCTTCTTTGAGTCTCGCGGCAACAAGTCGACCGACCCTATCGTCCTGTGGATGACGGGAGGTCCCGGGTGCTCGAGCGAGCTGGCAGTCTTTGCGGAGAATGGCCCCTTCCAGATCGACAACGAAACACTGGAACTAAGCTGGAATCCATATGGCTGGGACAAGGTATTTGAACTTGCATCTTTAGTTGTTATGGAGGCCAGTTGATTGAATGGAGTTACCGTGTGTCAGGTTCGAGCAGATAAGTCACTTTCCAGTTGCTGTGCCGAGTCGCTTTCGAGTTGCTAAAGGCCCCAAGCTTGGTTCTTTGCCTAGGAACACATCTTGCATCTTTGATTGTGCCTGACTTGGACATTGGACGTCTAGTCCCAGACCAAGCTTTTCTGAAATTGACAATCCCTACCTGAGCAACCTCGTACTGATTCAATGGGTATCAAGTATGCTCATGTATAATTGAGGCAAAGTGAAACCAAAGCAACTTGAACAGCAGGGGTCGTCAAAGCGTGACAACAGTTCTATGATCAGACTTTTCAGGGAAAACAAGCGACAGGAACAAAATAAACGAAGTCAAAGTCAGGATGATATCTGCCGTTTTTGCAGGTGTCCAACCTGGTGTATGTGGACCAGCCTATTGGCACCGGCTTCAGTTACAGCCACGATCCGCGTGACATCGTGCACTCCGAGAAGGGCGTGTCTGAGGACATGTACGATTTCCTGCTGGTGAGCCTCACAACAATCTGGCCGCTTTTCTCTTTGCGTGTCTGCCGTGATCGAGCGTCCTGGTACAGAACTAGCCAATGAAGCCCTTTGCCGCCTCTGCCTCAAGAGGGATTTACAACCGCTAAGTAGACGGTCTTCGTAGCCTGTTTCGTAGGTTAACCTCTTCCGGCCAGCTTTAGCTTCTTGCACTAGGTATCCATCTTTTTCGTGCTGTCTCTAGACACCACTGCTCATTTCCAGAACCTTCGTCAAACTCAGCGCGGCAGCCTCACATGATTTTTCCGGGCATCTTTTGCGGGGTGTCAAATATCATGACTACAGATTGCGACTTCCTGAGGAACTTGACGACTTCGTCACTCCAGCCATCAGACCCTAGGACCGCACCAGACACCAGCATCTCATCGAGCCGTCACAGCATCCTCAAAGCACCTTCTCCCAGTTCCTACAGGCCTCTCACAGGCAGAACCTCATGTAATCAGAACGGGATCTTTCCGGGGAGGACACCTCTTGTCGGGCAGGGGTGTCAGGCAACTGTCCCAGCTTTCTGCCTTGCAAGCGTCCTGTACAAGCTTCCTGTCTTGGCCGGTTCATTAGATTCTCACATACACGGACTCGCTCGATCAAATCCTTTCTTCCAGCTTCCTCGGCGTCTTTATATCCACGTCCCACTAGCAAGTCTCATTTTCAGGTTGAGTTGAGCCACGCTGAGAAAACCAACAGAAAACCGGGAGGACGCATCGCTTGAAATCCCGGACATAAAGCCATCGCGCTCCGCACCTGGACCCTCGTTAACCCCCAAACTAATCCCATCCGTTCCTCCGACGTTGACCTATCTCAACCTAGCCGTATCTCAAATGAACTCAATGCTTGTTATCATTTCCCGTGCAGGCCTTCTACGAAGCGCACCCCGAGTACAAGGACCACGACTTCTTCATCACCGGCGAATCGTATGCTGGCCACTACGTCCCCGCGGTCGCCGCCAAGGTGCACGCCATGAACAAGGCCAAGCAGGGGCCGCACCTCAACCTCAAGGTGCGCATGCTTCGGTTTTCGCCAACTCAAAAGTCTTTTCGCACCGCCCCATTGTCAGTCAAGTCGCGAAAGCACAATTTCGTCTGGTCTCTCCTATCTCGAGGAGTTTTCACTGGATTTGCTCCAGTAGGGATCAGTCGAAAACCTGCTCCACGATCAGTTTGTGATCATCAGCCCACTGACGTTGATGCTGGCGGTCGCCTGGATGCCTGAGATCAAGCAGCAGTGAATGTCCCCTGTGGCTACGTATTGTGCTTGCAATATCCTCGTGACACCGTCGAGGTTTCTCACCCCGAAAGTGGACCAGACTCTGCACAGCGTTTGTCTGGCATCCAGTACCTAACGTTAAAGGAGATTGTCGGAACCCTTGCTTTGTGCAGGGCCTCGCGATTGAACGCCCTGACACAGCCCGACATTCAGTACTACAGCGCTGAGAATGACTCAGCGCATTGAGCATTTACAACTTCTTCAGAACCGTAGCACAAAGACGCCCTGCAGAGAGCCCTCCAAAGCCTGAAATATCTTACGAGAATCTTCTTGAAAGCATTTAGTGTCGCTGAAGAACTTTCAGATCTGGCATTGTGGTTAGGAACGGCACTTCTTCCCAGAGCTTTCTACCCGGAACCGGCCTGTCAAGTCCGAGCTTAAGAAATGCTTGCATCCCGTTTGCAACCACACTTTGGTTCGTCAAGAGTCCCTTGAAGCTGGTACATTTCAGACCTGTTTCTCGCTCTCTGCAGGGCATTGCAATTGGGAACGGCCTCACGCAACCCGACATCCAATACGGCGCATACGCCGATTTCGCGTACCAGAACCACCTGATTTCCAAGATCACGTACGAGGGGCTGCGCATCAAGTACCCGGTTTGCGCCATGGCCATCCACGCGTGCGGCACCAAGGGCTCCATCAGCTGCATTGCGGCGCTCTACATCTGCCAGACGATCGTCGTGCGCATACTGGCGGAGGCGAACAACATTAACGTGAGAGCCCGGAACTCTCATCATTTTTCTTGAAAATGATAGTTCGAGGTGCAAGTATCGGACAAATCAGTCTCTTTTTGTGAGGCTCAGAACTGTTTCTGAAAGCACCAGGGCTCCATCATCTGCATTGCGGCGCTCTTCATTTGCCAGACGATTGTTTTGCGCATACTGGCGGACGCCAACAACATCAACGAGAGGAAGCTTCTTTTTTCCCGTAAACCTTGAAAAGTTTAATACTTTCGAGCTACAAAGTCCCGCCGAGTCAGAGTTGTTTGCGAGGCCGATAATGTTTGAAAAGCATCGAGGGCTTCCTCAGCTGTGTCGTAGTGGGTCTACATCAGCCAGACGCTCGTTGTGCGCATTCTCACGGAAGCCGACAAGATCAACGTCGGAGCCCGAGTTCTCACTTGTCACTTTGGAGTTTGAGTGTTCTCCAGTGAAGAACCCTGCGAGATTATTTATTGTGAGGCTGAAGAATCATTTAGAAGACACCAACGGTGGAACTGAATACGTGTTGGTGCGCCCCCCGGCAGGTGTACGACATCCGCAAGAAGTGCGACGTCGCGCCGCTGTGCTACGACTTTTCGTACCTGGACCGCTTCCTGAACCAGCCCGCCGTCAAGAAGGAGCTCGGAGTGGAGGACCGCTACTGGGTGGCCTGCAGGTGCGCGCTGTATACCTTTTCCCTTTCCTTTCACCTTAATTTGGAAATGTTTATTCTGAGCCTTTCTGTTTGCTTGATATTTATTCTGAGCCTTTCTGTTTGCTTGATATTCTCTCTAGGGGTGAATAATAAGGAAAGGCGTCATTTATGAGACCTGCTGTTCTGAGTTTGACGGGCAAGAATGGTCCATGTCGTAAGTACACGGGGCAAACTCGTCCTCCTTTCCTTCGACCGTCTCTTCACACCTTTGCTGTGTCTTCTGAAGGCTGTATCATATTCTGTTGATACTCCTACGACTCGCATGGCCCCCAAAATATGTGACGAACTTCAAACCTCGAACCTCCGGGCTTGACCCGTTTACTGCGATACTCGTAAATGCTAGTACCCTTTCGATTCACACGATCTGAGGCACTTTTGGGTTGCAAAATTAGGATGAGCACCATCTTTTCTGTTCCCCGCCTCCGCCCTTTGAGCGGCATTGAGAGAACGAAACCCTCGGTTGCGCTTTCTAAGTCGCGCCGTCCATCCTCTCACGACTTTGCATACAGAGTTGCTCAGACGGACGCATACGAGGATCGGGTCGAACTTTGGATTTGCTCTTCAACGAGCCTGATCACATGTTTTAGGCAGCCTCGTCAACCACCTGGGACCGCTTTTCTAGACAGCCCATGTCCGGTCAGATTTTACCAGGCGCGCACTGCCGCCGTACGCCCTATCTGGCAGTAATGGTCGATATTCGCTTCAACTTTGGTTTCTCAGAGCAATATCAGTCCGTTGAGCAGGGCACTTATTTGCCCCCAAAATCAGTTGGGTCGTGGGTCTCAATCTTCCTTAGTTATCAGCTTGGTTAGGCGCCTTAACTGGTTTAGTTGCGCCCTGCAGCCCCACGGTTCACACGGCCATGCTGGCCGACTGGATGCGCAACTCAGAGCCGGTCATTCCGGCCATGCTGGAGGACGGCGTAAAGGTTCTCGTCTACGCAGGGGAAGATGACTTCATCTGCAACTGGCTAGGTGGGCGCCCGGAACTTTTAGGCTTCCTTCTTTGACACCACTTTTTGTTTCGCCTTCTTGTGCCAGTCCAAAGATTCAGACGGCGATGCTGGCGGACATCATGCGCAGCCTGGAGCCCAAGATTCCGGCGCTCCTGGAGGACGGAATCCGCTTTCTGAACTATGCGGGCGAGTTTGACTTCATCTGCAACTGGGTCGGTGAGTGTCTGTAACCATGGCGGCCGTGGGGTTTGAAGAGAGGGTTCTCTTCCACTTCGAATTATGCCGACTTTGGCGGGGGCGAGTAGATATCTTGTGGGTGACTTTGGACGGATCAATGGCGAGGTCAGAACAAGTTGCCAGGTATGAGTTTTACCATGGTTCATACGGTTACATGGTCTGTTTCGGCAATTGTGTCGATGAGCAATATAGTAACGTGCAGACACTTGTGACGCTGCAAGCAGCCTGGATCGATGCATCCCGATGGAGATACAAAGCCTCTGGGGCTGATCTTCTCACATTTGCTCAGTCGATTCGCGTTGAGTGTCGGCTCATGGTTGGTCGAGGAATAGTGCACTTACACGTAAAATTCCGCTTGAGCGGGCATTTGAAGCCCTAGCCCTACCTCTCTGTCGAAAAAGTTTCAAGAAGCTCTTCTCGTGACGGACGAAGGGGAAACACGGACTCCTGGCCATCCCTCGCAAGCCCCCTTGGCTATAACCCCAGGGTATCGACGGTTGAGATTGACAACAAGACCTTTCCGAACCGTCGAATTATGGCCGAGGGGGGTCCCGAGACCGACCTGCCGGGAGTCCGCGTTCTCCTTCCTTCCGTTCCGTCAATTCACTCCAGGAAAGCGAGCGGGTATACTGGTTAAACGGATTGCTTTTCACTCTCAGGCAACTCTCGGTGGGTGGCGGTCATGGAGTGGTCGGGCCAGGAAGCGTACAACAAGGCGCCCTGGGTTAACTTCACGGTTGACGGGCAGTTAGCCGGTAACTTCACCGGAACCGACCAGCTCGGGTTTCTCAAGGTGGGCACTAAGAGCTTCGATTCAAAACCTTTGGTGCTTTCCTGGAAGTCCTCACATGATCAGCACAAGGTTGTCGGCATTTGTGTGCTGCGTACATTCTTTCACAGTGCACATGGATAGACTTCATTAAAGAGGGGGAACACGCCGGTTTCAAGTGCGGACATGTCAATGCCCTTTCGAGCTGTGGCGTTCGTAAAGTTTTTTTTGCGCTGCTATCGGGTCTACCTTACGGTCCTAATAAAGCAGAAAAGAAACGAGAAGAGAAGGCTGAGAACGAGAAGGCTTTTTGTCAAACCGCTCCTCGTGACCTTGCGGAATCCGAAACCGCTGATGTGATATCTACCAGCGCACCCTCAAAGCGTCTGATGAAAATTCCACGCCTCGTTAGTAAGTTCAAAACTTGTGGGCTACCATCTGCATTGCTTAGTCCGCATTTGTTTTGACATCTCCTCCATCTTTGTTTCCAGGTGAAGGACGCGGGACACCTGGTGAGTCGTCGCGACTTTTACGATTCTACCCGTGCACATCATTTTGTGTCACGTATGCGTTCTTTCTAGGACGCCCTCTGTTTAGAAAGCGACGAGGCAAGGGGGAGCATGTGTTGACTTGCTTGGGCGCAATCCTAAATGATGCTGGCGTTGAGCAGGAGAACATGGTCGAATAAAATTATCTTTTTAAGGTGCGATGTGGCGTTGTCTTGGTGGAATCGAGCGTATACGAAGCTGTTTCATTGAACTACTTTGGGAGGTGGTTGTGGAAGCGTAGTGGCATTGGGTTGATACGCAAGAGGACAGGCAACAAGATTCATTTCGGATAAAGTATCATGGTTGCCGTGTTCAATGCGCCACTGATTTGAAGTAGAGTCTTTGCAGAGCTGAGAGCAACTTCTGCATGGGCAGCCGAAAGGCAAAAGATTTGCGATCTGCGTCAGCGTCTGGTTTCGACAACCGCTTCAAAATAGCTCTTCGTGACCAGCAAGACACTTACTCCGTGTCGATTCAAGCAACATTTCCAACAATCTCACTTTGCCATTTCCGCAGGTCCCAATGGATCAGCCGAAGAACGCACTTGAGATGCTGAGGAGGTTCGTACGTGGAGAAAAGATGGCCGATGAAGCTGCACAGCCTCTCGCTTACGTCATCTGACAGGGAGGTCGCCCATTGATTTCTCAGTCAAAAAGCTGTAGGTCAAAACCTGCTATACTGTAGATTTTGTAGACTTTCAAGACGACTTGCAAGCAAGCTTGTGTAAAATAGTCAAGTGGTAACATCTTTGTTCTTTCTGTGCTGCTCAAATTGGCCTCCATTCTAGTGCGACTTTTGTAAGGTACTTATGAAGTCGTGATCAAGTGCTTATTATATTTGGGACTTGGGTGCCAGTCCCGACTTCTTTTCCAAATGGCCTCTCTTTCAGATTCTAGCACTTTGCTTCGATGCATGTGAAAGCGATTCACGTTGCGGACAGGAAGGCACTGCAGGACGGATACTTCGTACCGGGATATCGAGAAGAACGATCGTGTATATGTGATGTAGGTATACGTGATGTATGCTACCGTATGTAGGCTCATGCTGTTTATATCCTGGCCCGCATTTTGCCAGGACTTTTTGATCGGACGGTCGCAGAAGCCCCGTTGAACTTCCATCGGACGGTTTCGACATACATTTTGTGTACGCTTTTTGGGTTCTGGTCATGGCTTCCACCAGGTTACGACAATGGCGGACTTCTATCTCCTCCTTTCTGCATTGTTTGACACATGCAAGGCCTCGTCTGGACTGTCTCAGGTGTGCTTTAGCCGCGGAGCAGGTGGTGGATTGTTAAATAATGGCGTCTTGCAAAAGCCTTTACAAAGTACCGCAAAAAGCGGTGGGTTTGGGTTAGTGGACGAAAAGGTTTGGCAAGATCCGGGCCAGGATATAAATGGCATGAGAGGTATGTGACGAGAGATTGGACAAAGCTGAGCTGGACCCGACTCCGACCGAGTTCATCATTTATGGCATCATTCCTGGCATCATCGACGGCGATGGAGCATACCGGTACCGTCAATTCCGCACCCAAGGAAGCTGTGTTCGACGGAGTGTTCGATCATATTCCCAAAAGAAGCTGTGCAGAGCACAGTTAATTGTCGACTTCCGCAGCTTCGCACCTAATGGTAATATATTGCAGACTGGCCGCGGTGCCCGAGCTGGCAATGCCAGCAGAACTGCAGGACCTGCGTTACTCATGCAGCCCTGAGCCGAGGCCGCCGCAGAAGCTTCTCCTTTCATAGAGAGGCCTTGACGGGCCTGAGGATGCAGGACCAAGGCTTAAACAGGTTTCAATCCTAGACGGTCGACAAAGCAATGATAGATGTCCAAATGTGACAGGCAGAGAATGGCAGGCCACAAACCTGTAGACGCATGTGAACACGGCATTGGAACCTAGGAGTCTGACTTTCAAGTGAGGCAGCAGGGCAGTCAAAGCTGGAACGCTGGTTGCTAAAAGGAGTTGCTTAATTCACTTTGAGGCTTGACATCCGTAATATATGGCTCCCTCCGCCCTTCAGTGCTTCCTGCTCCTCCTCACCCTGACGGCAGCAGCGGCAAGCACCATCGTAGAGCCGGCCTGGGAGCGAGAGATGGCGTACATTCGAGACTGGGTAGAATCCAAGTTCTCCGACAGATTGCATGCCTTCAAAGACGAGCTCTCTGCTTCCAGGCTGGAGGCCTTTGCTTCAGAGCTGGGGGTGTCGTCCCCCCAGGCGACGGAAGTAGGGGTCGGGGCTGCTGAGATGCCAGAAACCCTGGGGAAAGAGGCCTTGTCAGAAAAGGTGCCCGTCAGGGGAGGGGAGCAATGAGGAGGCGGGGAATAAGGGAAGCATAAGGGAAGGAGTGCTGATGGAGAGTCCAGTGAAGCTAATGCCGGCTGGGGAGAATGCTGACGAGGACTTGGGGCACTACGCAGGGTACTTCCGCCTCAACCGGACGCACGATGCTAGGTGCGCCGTCAATGTCCAAAACTCTTGAACTTCCTCCTTGATTGGAAGCTGCTGGTAGGTGGATGTTTGTTGCTGTGCAAGAACAGCAACCTAGCAAGCACTCAATAGAGTGTCCAAAAATCAGATGTCAAGAGTGAGGGTAAAATGCAAGGCTGAAAGTGCCTCATTCTGGTTATCTTCCATTGACACCATCTCCTTTTGAAGGCCAGTTACAACATCTTCATTCGGAGGCGACACAGACAAGTGGTACGTTGGCCCCTTCCATAAACTGGCAACCCACCCACAGGCTTCACTAATGCACTGAGCCCCTGCCTGACTGTTTCTAATTGCTTTCAAAGATAATGACATTTGTTCACCTTGTGACATCAGTCAAGTCACAACAGACTGGCAAGGGTTCTGTCTTGAGCACTTTGCGCCGGCTACGTCAACGCCCCGGCTCCATTTGATCTGCTCAGGATGTTCTACTTATTCAAACCCCCCCAGTTCCCTGTGCCAGGATGTTCTACTTCTTCTTTGAGTCCCGCGAAAACAAGTCTACCAACCCTGTCGTCTTATGGATGACGGGAGGGCCTGGTTGCTCAGGCGAGCTAGACGTGTTTGCGGAGAACGGCCCCTTCAAGGTTGACAACGAAACACTGGAGCTTCAGCTGGAACCCTTATGGCTGGGATAAGGTGAATAAATCCGCGTCCGTTCTCTATTTTGAGGCATGTCCATAAGTTGATTTCTTGTGAGGGCCTTGTGAGCAGATGACGTCATTTTCGGATCGCTGCGGTGAAGGCACCATTCCTCCTCCTTTGGCCTGGTACAAGTTTTGCATCATCGATGATGAGGACATTGGATGTTAGTCAATCGGACGAAGCTATCAAACACCTTCGAAGCTTTTTCGAATCCCGTCGATCAAGCCGGTATCACCATGGCGACTCTAAGCAGAGAGCGACCTTGTTCTATTCTCCTGCAAGTGCAGCAATTCGAACCCAGAGCCGTCTCAACAGTGAAAGGGAGTTGTAGAGCCGAGACTGTAAATGGCACTCGAGAGAAGCAAACACAATTATAAGTCGGAGCGTGACCCGCGATTGTGCAGGTAGCCAATCTGATTTTCGTGGACCAGCCTATCGGCACCGGATTTAGTTATAGCCACGACCCGCGTGACATCGTGCACACCGAGAAGGGCGTGTCTGAGGACATGTACGATTTTCTGCTGGTGAGCTTGTTGACAACACGGCCGGTTTTTCGAGTATATTCAAAAAGATGATAATAAGCCGAGATAGTAATGAGGTAAGCGCACTGAGACGGGTAGGGTTAGTTCGGTGGTGAGGGCGGGCATGGGTGCGGAGCAGGTGTTTTTGGGCTTTCGAGTGTTAGTCGGAGCTCAAAATTATCTTGGCTTATTCGGTTCTTTTTGTAGAATTGTCGTTTTTTCTGGCATTTGCCTCTCGTTCTCGAGTTTTCCTGGTGCATATTCCACAAAGACAAGAAGCGATCTCTGGCCTCTACCTCAGAAGGATTGATTTGCAGCTGTCAAACAGTCGCAGCAGGTGACAGTATCTTAGAGTTGGCCTTGAGTCCGTGCACCGTGGCCCCTCGAACTTGTGCTTTCACAGGAGCACTGCTACTGGGCATGCCAAAATACGAAAAATTGAGTTTTCATAGCAGGCGATCGGAGCTCTTCGATTACGATTCGAAGCTAAACCGATCACATGTGTTTCCCTTAAGGGACTGCTTTCTGATTGCGGCGCTCGAAACGCGACTCATCGAACGGCTGTGCTTCGACGAGTTGGACCTCACCCAAAAACATAAGAGCAAACAGCTAATTCTGCAAACAAGGTTTTGGAGGAGCTAGTTGGCGCCACGGCGCCTGCCAAGAAGTTTTCTCAGAAACAGTTCCTTTATTCCAGCCTTGACAGCGCTGCCACGAAACTCCTTTTGTGCCGCTCGAGGCCCTGAACGTTGCGGGCCACATAGTGCAACTCTCCAACCAGCCGACGACTCTCCCGTTCGTTTTTCAGCATCCTTTGGGACCTCATCAAGTTGCCAGAAATCTATCACCCCCCTCGTTGGGGCTCTCTGCGTAGGTTCGAAGGTCAATACAGAGTCGCTACCCGTGCCAAAAGTATCATTCCTAGCACAAATTTTGGCTGAAAAAAAGCGTGATTTGAGGTTCGAGTTGGCGAACTGATAGTGCTCTGCTTATGAGTATGAGCCCGAGGAATTTTGGAACAAGGTAATCAGTACTGAACGCCACGGTCCTGCAATAGGTGCTAGAAACGAGTACCTGAACATTCCTGTATGACGGACTATTTTAGGTATAATAAGAGCCAGGTATGCTAACCTCCCAACAAACACTCAAAACCCAATCCAACAATCTACCCGCTCCGCACCCAAACCCATCCTAAACCCTCAATCTAACCCCACCCGTCCCAGTGTGGTTAGCTTATTATACCTGGCTTATTTTTAGACTAGATATCAGCCCAGCACGATTCATGTGCAGGCATTCTACGCAGCGCACCCCGAGTACCAGGACCACGACCTGTTCATCACCGGCGAATCGTATGCTGGGCACTTCGTTCCGGCGGTCGCCGCCAAGGTGCACGCCATGAACAAGGCCAAGCAGGGGCCGCACCTCAACCTCAAGGTACATCCCCTTGATCAATTGGCCGGCCCGCTTTCAGTTTGTGATTACGTCGACTTTGCCTACTTTTAGGTGGTCCTTTCTCTACTTACGTCAGCTCTTAGTCCTATTCAGCTGCGTTTAGGTGGTCTAGCTTTCTCTCTTCTGATTTCAGACTGCAGTCAAGGTCCCGTTCGGATTCGTTCTGGGACTTCCGGCATCCTTGGAAGGGCGCCCCCGAAGATCCTTTCGTTTGAAACCAAAATTTTGACTTGGACCCTGCAACAGCGTTGTCAATACTCCTGACTTCGTGGCGAATCGATGTTTAAAATCTGACGTATTGGGTAACTTTGTTGTGACGGCGAGGATACGAGGTCTTACAAGGTGCTTCGGCTTTGCTTCGCGCAGGGCATTGCAGTTCGGAACGGCTTAACCCAGCCCGACATTTAGTAGGGCGCCTACGCCACCGTTGCTTGTCAGCATTGTGACGACGCATGAGGAGCTGCGCGTCAAGTATCCACTTTCTACAGGTTCCGGATCCTGTGAACCCTCTTGCAGTCATTAGCAAGTTCTGAGAACGTCTCTTTCTCTCAGAACTCTGTTCACCAGTACGCGCCTGCCAAACTCCTCCGGAATAAACGCAACCTGTTCTTAACATTTGGGTTGGTCAGTCTGGTTAGATATTAACCGTTTCTTGCTGCTTTCTACAGGGCATCGCAATCGGGAACGGGCTGACCCAACCCGACATTCAGTATGGCGCTTACGCCAATTACGCGTACCAGAACCAACTAATCGCCAAGACTACTTACGAGGCGCTGCGCGTAAAGTATCCGGTATGCGCCACGGCTATCCACGCGTGCGGCACCAACGGCTCTGTCAGCTGCGTTGCGGCGTTCTACATTTGCCAGACAATTGTCGACCCCATCCTGGCGGAAGCGAACAACATGAACGTGAGAGCCCGATAAGTTTTGTGGTGACAAAATGTTTTTCATAATGTGACGCGAGAAACACAAGGGCTTCTCTAGCTGAGAGATGTCTCGCGGGTCTACATGTCTCGGCAAATCGTCACCGTGATGTCACCATGATATGTGGTGATATCTAGCTTACTCGAGACTGCATCGCGTGTCTTGATCGAGACTGGATCGCGTTTCCTGATTGAAATCGATGCTGAGTCGCTTGTCCTTGGGATTGCCCAGACTATCTAGCGTAAGGGACCGTGAAGCTGGTCAAGTTGCGTTGAAAATTTAGAAGGCGTAGAGAACAGATTAGTTAAATAGCTTTGAGCGACGATGCTCATTTCTGCAAGAACGGCGACTCAAAAGAGAACATACAAACAACGTGGAGCGACGAGCGAAGCTCAAACAGGCGAGACACCCAGCACGAAGTAAAGACTTGCATAGAGCGATGTTGTTCCAAACCTACGATGTCATGACAGATTAGATTTACTAAGCTGTAGGCTCTATAGTAAGCTCTAAACCCGATACTTAAAAGACCCACTTCCTCTAAACACCTGCTCCAAGAAGTTGCAATCTAATCGCAATCGGAAGGGCATGTGAACAATAATCCTACCCGGCACAGGCTGGTGTTCTTACCAACTTTAAATTCTCATTTTTCAGATATACGACATCCGCAAGAAGTGCGACTTCGGACCCCCGCTGTGCTAAAACTTTTCGTACCTGGACCGCTTCTTGAATCAGCCCGCCGTCAGGAAGGAGCTCGGCGTGGAGGATCGCCATTGGGCGGCCTGCAAGTGCGCGCGTGCAGACGCTTTCTCTTAACCCAAACCCGAGACTCTGAACCCCTAAACCTCAAAACCAAAGAATGTCTTGTACCTGGACCGCTTTCTGAACCAGCCCGCCGTCAAGAAGGAGCTCGGCGTACAGGACCGCGAATGGGTGGCCTGCCGGCAAGCGCTGTCAACCTCTTAAAGAGCCGCTTGTCCTACAGCAACTTTCGAACAACTGGCGAATCTTAGATCACTTGTCCGGGCTTGACATTTCCTTTGATACCATGCGCCGTCTCTTTTCAAACCAAACCGATAGACCAGAGCTCGGAGCTTTGAGTATCAAATTGCATGCCGTTCCTGATCGCCGCAAATGCATTTAGTGGTTCGACGGATGCATCTTTGCAACTGACTAGGTGGGCATTCGGAACCTCTACACTTCTCTCTTTGACACCAGTTTTTGATTCGCTCTCTTGTGCCAGTCCCGAGATTCAGACGGCGATGCTGGCGGACATCATGCGCAGCCTGGAGCCCAAGATTCCGGCGCTCCTGGAGGACGGAATCCGCTTCCTGAATTTTGCGGGCGAGGACGACTTCATTTGCAACTGGATCGGTGAGTTTCTCTTTGACGGCGGGCTTATGAAGCTTCGACGAGCGCTTCCTTTTCTGCATTCAAACCAGGACAGTTCGATGGCTCCAAAAACCAGCGGGCGAGTGCGACCTCGGTTTGAAGTTGGGTCGGTCAGTGTAGACAGAATCAGTTGCGAGAGTCTCACCAACGTTTTTCGTCCCACCGTACCTTTCAGACAGTCCTTTCTACAATCCTTGTGTACCTATGCCGACTACGACGGATCGAGATTGTACGAACAATAGTAAAGGCCGAAAAGCCCGGACCGAAGTGACTGAGGTCAATAAAGAAAGGAACGTGGGCTTATCAAAGCCATTTTTGGGGCCCAGCCTATTCGCTTCAAGTCTCGCGGTCATGGTCCGTCGAAGAACAGTGCCCTTTGTAAGCCGAAACCTCGCGTCAAACCAAACCTCACAATTAGGGACGTACTTCACGGTTAAAGATGCTGTCGTCAACCAAACCCAAGAAAGCGCGCGGTTAGGCTCGGTTAACAGACTCGTTTTCTTCCCTCAGGCAACTCTCGGTGGATGGCGGCTATGGAGTGGTCGGGCCAGGAAGCGTACAACAAAGCGCCCTGGGTTAACTTCACGGTTGACAGAGAGTTTGCCAGCAACTTCACCGGAACCGACCTGCTCGGGTTTCTCAAGGTGGGCACTGTTGGGTTTTCAAGCTTGTAAGCTTTGGCTGCTTTGCTGGAGACGCGGGCCTGAGTATCGAAAAGCCCGCTTTGCCGGAACTTGCATGTGCGAAGCATAGAGTTGTGAGCGCTCTTGCGGTGCGACCTGAAAAGGAATTCACCTTCATGTCTAAAGGAACACGCTGTTTGGCGTGTTGGGCGTCAATCCCCATCAAACTTTGGCGTGCGGTAGATTCCTAACGTCCGCTGTTGAGTCTTCCGTACTTCCTAGTCAAGGCAGAGACGAGATGGATGGTAAAGGAAAAGAGACGTCTCTTAGTCAAACCCCTCGTCGTGACCCCTCTTATTTGGAGCATTACTGCTAAGATGCTAACGACGTACCATGGTCTTGCCGAGCGTCAAAAGAGAACCTTGAGCATCGCAACAAGCGAGACTTGTAAGCGACAATTGTAGACACCATTCGCGTCGCTTATGCTGCGAAACTCTTGACGATCGCTTCGTCTTTCTATCCAGGTCAAGGACGCGGGGCACATGGTAAGTCACATAAACCTTTAGTTTAGGTAGGTTGGCTCTAGGTAGGAAATGGTCATGGCCCGGGGAGCGGGTGGGGTTAGATTGGGGGTTGTGGTGGGTACGGCTGCGGACCGGGTTCCTTTGTCGGTTTAGGTTTAGCTTTTCCTTCCCCGGGACTGTTACTATCCTACCTAGAAAACAGCCTACCGAAACCATTGAAGTATGTAGGTAACCTCAGCTTGTGTTGCTTTTTGTGGGCATTGTTGATCAGTCACAAATGCTTTGACTTGATCGCGGAGGCATTCCGAGCATGCCTTGAGTCGCCGTGGTGTTTCCTGTGGTCAAGCGCGAGAAGTATGCTGGCTCGGTCTCATGTACTCTTGTTAGGTGCATATCGGCATCGCCTTAGAGAAATCTAGTTGATAGGAAAGCTGAGAGGGACTTTGACAAGGTGGAAGCGTTGTGGCAAAGTTCGACTTTCGGGGGGGAAGCGCGAAGGGACAGGAAACGCAGATGTCTGCAATAGTTGCCGTGTTCATAGGGCGATTTGGCATAAGAAAAGTCGTGCACAGTGAGAGCACCCTTTGCATGTGCCACCGACGGTGCAGAGTTGGTCAGCCTCTGAAAAGGTCGAGGAAGTCATCTGCGAACAGCAACCTTTCACTTTCTGTAATCCTCGTGAATTATTCTTGCGTCGCCTTTGTCGGTACGAGCTGAATCTTCTGAGAGATTGCGTTCTCTATTATGCAGGTCGCAATGGATCAGCCGCGAAATGCACTCGAGATGATGAGGAGATTCCTTCGCGGGGAAAGAATGGGCAGTGGAAGAGCAAATTTCCTCGATCACGTGGTTTAACTAGATTGATTGACCAGTGTATCCCGGCCAGTCGAAAGGTCGTAGGTGATTACCTTTTCTTCTAAAACTGTCTCGAAGATGGGTATTATTGCGCCAGCGAATCATACTGGACGGTAAGATTGTACCTGCAAAACGCGACCTTGGAAAGGCACATAGTAGCAAATGACGAAGAAAACATTAATCAGGGCTTGACAATCCAAAGCGGAATTGGTTACCGTCGTACATGTTGAGTGTGTTAAGGGAGGACTTCAAGCCTTGGTGAATTTTGATTGTTCTGGAGAACATGGAGTAGTGGACCGGAAAGAGCCGCTTGCGGCCCAGCTGAACACAAGTTCGTGCACGCTGACTTGCAGATAGACTACTATTACCGCATGAATCCCAGAACTACGGAAGTTGAGAACGTCCGAGAATTGAAACTCAGAGCCCGAGGCACATTCCGTGCACCGAGCTCAAGAATGCATCATAAAACCTGCCGGGGTGCACAGTCGTCCGCCAATCTGATCGTCGGGAGGCTTGAAGTTCAGTCGGGCCACTGCTGACTTGCGCACGTTTTAATGCCTGCGAGGAGCATGTTATAGTCTGTACGGCCGGTTGATCTGCATCATTGGCAGCCGGGTTGCGCTGCGCAGGCCCGCTAGGGGCTGAGAGACTCGCTGAAACTCGTTCGATCGACAGGCTCGCAATTGCTATTAGGACCCAAACACGCACGCAACCTGCATGATGCTAAGCTACCTATCTAGCTAGCTCCGGCGCATGATGAATGGCCCAGGTATACTTTCCTTTACATCCTAGATTCGTGAATCTGCTGCATGACCGCTACCTAATATGCATCTATTGCACTTATGTGGAAGTACTTGAATACTAATGCAAGGCGGATTCTGATCATTTGTTAGATTGCATATGATACATGAGCTGCCAGCGTAAGTCAAATTCTATCGATATCAACATGAAAGCAACTGAACGCTACGAGGTATAGTGACCGAGAAATCCGCGAACACTGATGACTACCCTCTAGCCTGCGATCAAATAACAATTTGCAAAGAATTAAGACGCTCCTCTGATGCCAACTTTGATTTCGACGGAGCTAGATTTTGCGATCGACTACGAAGTAGACTTCACTCCCAACTGTGCCAGGGGTTCTTCAGAACGCAGACTTCGACCTACCTAGGTACGCGCTTAAATATTTCTAGAGAGTATCATACAAACCGTCATCAATATCCGTCCTTGTCCGCTGTCTCTAGAGATACACGTTTTTATTCGATCACGGGCCCACACCTCATATGCACTGAATCGAGCTTTAGTCTCTGCATCTATAGCTGGCGAAGATAATTGCGGGTCGATCATGGACATGCGCGTGCTGCACAGCAATGCTTGCGTAAAACAATTTAGGCTATAAAGAGACCCTGATCGAGTTTCGACGACTTCGCTCGTGGAGGCGATCCCCTCATTGTGCTTTTAGTAACCTCCGCTAGCTTGACTATGCCAGGAATGGTCAAGCGCAAAATCAAGGTTTACGGTTAGCACTTGAAGTCCGGCATAATCTTGTTCTCCGGGGCGAGCACACTGGCCAACAAGCACCCGTCACAAGTGCAAATTGGCCGGCGATAACACATATTGATTCAGCCCGCCCATATAGTACAAGGCTCAAAATTTTTTGAGCTCATTGGCGGTTGAACCCATGCCAATATGCCAACATGCATCCCCGCACGAGAAACCAAGAAAACCAATAGAACAATGTTAAAACGAGTGTCGAAAACTGGTGGCTAGCCTCTCCCAGTAGCTTGTTTGACGGAAGAATCAAGTCAATTTCTAGCACCTGATGCCAACCCTAACTTCGACACAGAATTGGACCAACTAGACTTCGCCCCGACTGGGGTGTTATTCAGGACCAGACTCCTATCTGCATGCTCGCACTAATAGCTATGGACAGCATTTGCTTACACGGTCATCAGTGCTTATTTGCTGTCTCTGTAGGTACACGATTCCGTCTGATTACCCACACCTAACTGAATCGAGCTACTGTCTCCATTTGGCTAGCGAAGATAATTGCGCGTCATCGACACACCGCCAGCCAATCTAAAAGGCTGGCTTGTGTCAAACCTAGTCTACACAGAGACCCTGGGTTACGAAGGCTCCCCTTTTGTATCCTCGTAACCTCTGGTCTTGACTACTGGAATGGTTAAGCGCAATTTTTAGGGTTAACACTTGAACTCCAGCATCATGTTGTTCTCCGGAGCAAGGCCGATGCACGCACGGAAGACGTTCTCGAGCATGGCGCGCTGCTTGGAGAGAGCGTTCACCACGGGCGTACCGTTGGGCACCTGGAAAGGAGTACAGCCTTCGGTCAGACGGGATAAGGAAGGGTGAGAGGTTGAAACAGGCCATGCGGCGAGGGACGTCTTAAAGCTGTGTACATGCACCTGTCACCGAAGGACGACACACTGTATTTGAGAAAGCCAAATCAGAGTTGGAAAAACTGAACCCGGGCTTTCGGATGAGACAGTTTAGTGCAGATTGTCCGCAGAATGAAGCGGTACGGCTCCTCGGTTTGGCTTGAAGACCAAACGTTGTCCAACATTACTGTAATCTGTGCAGTTGCCAATATCAGCGAGTGGGATCGGAAATTAAGGAAGACTGCAACATGGACAGAAAGAATATGACCAGAAGCATTTTGCAAATGTAGATTCAATTGCGAGGGCACGGGTTGAAGTCGTAAGCAACAGAAGCAAGAACGAACGCGAGACTGATATCCAAGGAGCATCCATGACACTCACCGGAGCGCCTTTGCAAGGCAGCTGAGCGAAGCTGCGACGGCGTGAAGTAGAAGCGCTCCTCCCTTTTAAGGGGAGAGGAAGCAGAAGCAAGGACAGACAATGAGGAAAGAAGTACAAGAACAAACCAAAAGAAGCAAATGACTTACCAGGGGCGCCTTGGTGAGGTAGCTGAGCAGGACCGCGACGGGGTGGAAGCTGTGCGGCTCCTCGTCGCCCTTGGCGAGCTGTATCCTGGTGACCAGCTCCGCGAGGAGCACCAGGTCCAGGATGATGGGCGCCGCCAGCAGGCTGTCCTCGCACGTGTTGTGCATCACGATCGTGTTGCGCCCGCCCATGAAGATCTCGCTCGTGTACTCGTCCATCGCGCGCTTGCTGTCCGCCACATACGGCACGTACTGGAGAGGGGGGGATGAGAGGGTTTAGGGACTTGCAAACGTCACAAGCCTTGGTTGACCTACTGCTTGTAACAGTGTTAGTAACGTCACAGGTCTTGGCAACAGAACTTTGGCGTGCGCAGTGCTTGCTGTCCCTCACGCCTCGTACGTACATGGGGGGGAAGGAGCTGAGAGGGGTTAGGAAGCTGGTGAGTTCACAAATCTTTGCTGACCTTTTGTCCAAACGGTCATTTGTTGGATAATGTACGTATTGCTTGCAGCCAAACACGTGGGACCGCCCCCAAGGGGCGCCAGGGCTTGCCTCTAAAGGGGGTTTCTGGACGGTGAATTTGTTACATTTTTTGCGGCGATTGTCTGCGAGAAATGCGGTTTGTAGGGTATATCTGAAGACACGTACCATAGGCTATGTTGATTGATTGATTGATTGATTGAATTTTTGACAACTGCGCTGCTTGGCGAAGTAGGTACGTTACAGGCACCCGCGTGGGATTGCCAATAAGGGCGACGTGGCAGTATCGCAACGGTAGAAAGACTGACAGCGTTTCAACGTTACGGTCCGCTTTGTGCGGCCAACAAGGCCGGAATCGATGCGAAACAGCCCATCTGCGCCGCTCTGGGGGGACAGTCCAAAAGCAAAACCCACCATGGTATGGCAAATTCTGGGTCCCTACTGTACGTTTTATCGTCGATCCGGGGAAAATCGAGGCAAAGCACCAGACTGGTCACTCATCTAGCCGCTCACCACGTCGTACAGTTCGGAAAACACAGCAAAACTACAACTTGCCTTTTTACTACGTAAAAAAAGAGGCAAGCCAATATGGCGCGTATTGGAAGAAAGGGGTGCGAGGGGTCAGGGATTCGGTGGGGTTGACGGCCTTGGTAACAACTTGGTGCTACTGTAGCTCTTTCTGGCCAGCTCGAGGACATACTGCAAAGCAGGTGACGTCCTGACATCCGAAGTATTGACGGGCGGTTGTGCAGATGAGTCGCGGGGTGCTCAGGGAAAGCAACTTGGATATACCACTCCCCGACCATTTGCGCAGCAGGCTTCAAGATCTAGCTTTCTTGCTTCTAGAGATTAGTGACGGGTCATACAGTACGCTTGCGCATCCTTCCAGCTTAACCCTTCCGGACCACTGCAGCGTTTGCGGAGATCCGACCTCTGATTCTTGCCCGTACCTTGATGACGACGACGTGGTCGGGGTGCTCCCCCGGGCCGTAGAGAATGCTGTTGCTGGCCACCATGTCATCCACGACGTTGCTCTTGGAGATCTCCTTGGAGCGGAACTGCGACGGCGCGCTCAGGTTCATGCCGTCGTTGTTGCCCAGGTGGTTGTAGCTCACGATGCTCGTCGGCTTGATGCCGGCGCCAACCAGAAAGTCGACCAGCACCGACTTCATCTTGGTCTGCCCGCTCTTGAAGTCGTCGCCCGCGATGAGCGAGTTTTCTTGCACCGCATAGTCGATCAGCCCAGGGACGAACTGCAAAAGAAACAAAATGAGAGCTTTCAGAAGGTTTGCGCTTTTGAAAATGGAGATCGACCAGCATCGACTTCATTCTGGTGTGCCGCTTTTGAAATCGTCGCCCCTGATGAGCGAAATAACTTGCACGGCGTTATTGATCAGCCCGGGGACAAATCGCACGGCAGCAGAAGTGCGTCAACGGGAAGGCCTCGAACGGCCCCTAGCGTGTTCCTTTCCATCAAAACCAAGGATGCAATCAGGCGTGAAGAGTTCGAATGAGACGCACCGTGTTGCATACGATCCCCTTACAAGCATGGGGCCAATCCAAACGAACCACCAGTAATGACGGAGCCGGCAACAAGAGAAGAGCTCCAAGAAATTATGCTTGTTTTCTCATCCTCAATCCAGTCATTAGCCCTGACTTTTGTCTTTCGTTTCCTTAGCCTCTTTACTAACCGTGTTCTGGGGGCTCCCGTTGATGAACGGCACATTCTCATGGACGCACGCCATGCCATAGATGGTGGACGGCGCAATCTCGGCCTCGTTGCGCTCCAGCGCGGCAAACAGGTTCTCCTTCGTGTCGTTCAGGCCCGAGATGACGTCACTGAAGCGCTCCGTGTTGGCGGTCCACAGGACCACGACGCGGTCCACCTTGGTCTGCTCCTTGAAGGCCCTGTAGAGCATGTGCTTTGATCGGTGAACGGGTTGACAAAAGAGGCTTTTGATCGTGTAAATACTCGAGAACGATTCAACTCTGTACATGCTCATGAGTGCGAAACGACAAGAAGTACATCTTCGCTTGCTCTAGGACTTTTCAATGGGATCCTCAACTTACATGGAGTTTCACAAGTATAAGATGCTTTGCGATTCCGAGGTGTTTTAACAGGGCAGTCGACGAGATCAACTAGCACAAAGGCCATCTGAACTTGCAGTCCATTTCAAAGACACCGGACTGAAATTGATTGACATACCCAGCGAAACAAGAACCGGAGAGGGAAAAAGCGAATGGAACGAAAGGGACCTCCCAGTGATGCCATAGTCTTTAGAACCACAATTGTCCCTGCACCAAGTATACGAGCAATGACTAGCGCAAACTTGCATGATGGCCCGCCTCAACTTTGACAAAGCAAGCAGAGTGTCAAAAGTAACCAGCTGTCCAGAGTAAACACCATCTTAGACCCCTCAGACCTCAGAGAAAGCGTGATCCACCAGTGACGAAAGCTGTAGACAAACAACAGCTTCTTACTCCGAATCTTACCGCACTGAAGACTGCAGAAATTGTTCCATGGCACTTCGATGAGAGGAGGGCGCCAGTAAAACCTGAAAAAGTAGTTCAAAGGTCACTTCAGCCGCTCACCTGATGTCCTGGATAATCTGCTCGTACTGCTCCTTCTTGGACCCCTTCACGATGTTGTTCGCGCGCGCGCCCTGGTTCGCTGCGATGAAGTCCGGGTCGTAGATCCCCGGCAGGGGGACCATGTCCTTCATGTGCGAAACCAGCTGCCGCTGCAGCTCGAAGTCCAACACCTTTGCGCGCGCCATAGCGTCAGCAAGATTCATGCTTGAAATATCCCACCCGCCAATCACAATCTCGTTCGGGTCGACCATCGGGAGCAGGCTCTTGAAGGGCACAAAGATCTCCTCGCCGTTGAACGAACCGACGCGGCACGTCGAGGCCTGGGTGAGCGAGCCGAAGTAGTTGGCGTGGCGCACTCCGTCCTTGGTCATCCAGGACATGCCCCTGTGGAAAAGAACGTAGAGGTTAAGCCAACCTGGGGGTAAAATCAAGGCTGGTTAGTAACTTGTCTGTGCAGTACAGAGTGTTTCCAAAAAGACTCTAACGTGCCATGCTTGGTCACCCAAGCAAGTCCCACTCCCGCGCCAAGGCGCAGATTGTGAAGTTGGGATCTGTAATGACTGTATGTATTCGTTCACTTTATTAGTGAGCTTTATGTGACTCGAATAGCACAAAAGTGCACTTACAGTTGGCTCAGCTGTTCTCCTACTGATCTTGGACTAGGCTGGTTGTTTGCTCAAACGAAGCTTAACAGCTCAGATCTAACTCGCAAAGCAAGTAACTTGTTTGGACAAGAAACAATGTACTCAAACATCATTTTTGCGTAAGGCTCCAACAGGAAGCTTTTGGAGAAGAGTCCAGCAGTTAAGCTCGCCTAGGAATGCAGGGAAATAGCGTGTGGTGCAGTCCAAGATGAGCGATTATGGAAAGAAGAGAACGCTGTCCAAGATGCACAATGCAACTAAGCGTCTCAATGCAGACCAATGCTTCTTGGACACATGAATGCACCTTGGGGGTCAGAAGTAAGTACCTGTCAAGAAAAGCGGGCAAACTTCCAGAAGCACCTAGTGTGAAAGCTGACTTTTGCGAAATGGTTCTTCATGTGCATAAACCCTTATGCTGCTGAGTTCAAACCCAGCTCCAATCACGTCCTTTGAAAACGCCTACCTTCCGTCTGAAGTCACAGCTTAGATGCTCGCAGCTCCTTCTAAGAATGACTAAAGCGGTCTACCAAGAGGCCAACAGGACTGTCCAATGTGGCGCCGATGCCAGCTCCTAGATTACTTAACATGTCCGCGTGAAGTCCATGGAACTCTGCTTGCAATCGATCATAGCCTAAGATCTGATCGACTGACGCGCAAAATAGAGAGGTTGCTTACTCTCGGTTAGCAATGATTCCGGCCGTCAAAGTTGATCCATTGTTTCCGCCCCAGCCAACCAGCATCACCCTGAAGCAGAGGAGTAGAGATCAGAGTGCTGCTGTGCAATGCTGCGGGCTTTTCATTGGATTTCTGATTTCTGTTTCCTCTCAGCTGAACCTGGCCCGCAGAGGCACACCAAAACATGATCAAGAATTGACGAGAAGGAAATGTCCGACAGTAGAGCTGTCCTGCTGAGGCTTTTCAGTAACAAGATTAGGCCCGCTTCCTGAGCTTAATAAGATGAATGAGATGAATAACAGAAACCGAAGAGGAAAGTTCCTCCACCATGCGAGCCTGCTTCCATAATTGCCAGCAAACGTCTTTGACGGTAACAGCTGACGAAGGGTAGTCTTTGACCACAAAAGAGGAAACCCGGTTTCTAAAAGAAATCTGGTTTACCAAAACCAGAACGCAGCATCCCTGTCATGTAACATAAGTCTTCCAAGCTCCTGCGCTCCAATGTAACCATAGTGCATTCAATAAGAATGTGACGCATGTGTTGATTCGCCGATCTCAAAAAGACCGCTTCAGATCTGAGTAGTAGGCACGCATGTACTCAAAAAGCAGGTAAGACAACCGCAAGTGAGCTCACAGCTTAACCAAGTTCAAACCTTGCACATTGGAGTGTACAAACCTCCATGCCATGCACACGCCTGGGATCCAAAGCCTTTGAGATCTGGAACTCAGAGATCTACAAAGATGCAGATGAAAATCTTTAAATTGTCTTCTGACGTTAGATGTATAAGCAGGGCACATGACCATAGGAAACCGGTAACTCACCCCAGCTTGGGCACCTTGGTGCTTGTCTTGAATGTGTACTCCGTCGCCGTGGGTTTTACGGTCCATTCGCTCTTGCCGTCCTTCACTGCATGGCTGAGCTCTGTGGATTGATACTGGTACTTGGAGGTAATAGCATCCTCTTCGTACTTCACGTTGGGGCTCTCAACCTTAAAGCTCTCGACCAACATCTTCGCTAACCTCGCGTGGACAACCTTCGAGAAGGGGTTCGGCACCGGTCGGGGGGCTGATCACAACTTGTCCGGTAGATAGGAGCCCTAAGAGGTGATGCTGGAGGCGTTCGCTTCAAGTTCAAGGCGCTTGATGACCACAATGACAGTCACCTTCACCTGCTTGACGACGCTGAAGCTTGAGGGATCAACCCTGACAAAGTGCTCCTACGCGGCCACTCGGAACAACGCAAGCAAGCAAGGATGCAATTTTGAAGCAAGCAAGAGCTGCTGTCGACCGGGCACGAACGGTACAGACCGGCAGGGCGTCACTAGGTAGAATGTAACGGGGAGATTGGCAGACGGGGAAAGTACCACCGGTTGACACTGATCAGCAGCTAGCTGCCAGCTGGGGTAAAATAGCTCATGCGAATGGGTGGTTCACGCCTCCCGGTTGCTCCCGGGCTGTTCTCGAACATCGGAGAATAACTCCGGGGCTTTCTGTCGACCACAGCAATTTGGCTCGAGCATGGCGGTCTTACCTGGCGGAAAATCCGAGTCAGCAGGTCTTTAGCATCTCTCTTCGATTCGATAGTCAACCATCACCCTGGCCACCTGAGACAGGCCGAACGCGTCGATATCAGCCATCTAAAGAGCCGAAAGAGCGAGCATGTGGCCACAGCAAAGCAGTGTTTGCAAACTTCCGAACTAGACTTACGAACTTAGCGCCAGTCTTGCATGCGCCAGACAACCGTTGGATATGACTTTGGATGGTCCGGATGCGCCCAGCCAGTCCCCCTCATTTCATCCCATACTGCCTTTTTTCCAAGGATAAAAGTAAAGGCCGTGGATGGGATGGACAAGTGCACCGAAGCCGTCGATCTAAGCCCACTGGTTCTGCGCGCTCGCGTTCTAATATCACTGGCGCCAGTACGACGAAGTCGACTCCTTTTGTTAGTGTCTCAGGCTCCAAAAAAGTGTGAAAACATCTTACACGCGGGATCATTGGTTCACAGGGTCTCCGCGTGGACCGTACTTTCAGTTCAGGTCCTTTGAACAAAAATGCGTCATTCTTATATATGTCACACATGGTGTATCGAAATCGAGATCGAATAATCGTATACACTGACATGTATATATGTAACGCATGTAACGCTTTCGACAAATTGCATCGAAGCTGTCTCGCGATGGGTCACGACAGGCAAGAACATAGG